GTTCCCTTAGCTGTAGTTTCACTTGATAGTAGGTAGAGACAGTAGGAATCTCGTTAATCCCGCTGTCATCAAAATAATGAATCTATAGTGACTGCACCATTTGGTCTCAAGATCACCAGACCACAAGTCAACACAACAGTCCTTCTCTGAGAAAAAAATGGAGAAACATAAGTGGCAGCCTGGATGTATCAGCTTATGACAATTCTTCTTCCCAATTCTGCAATTTCATTAAGAATGAAATAACGAATTTTTGCAGCATTAGAGAGGTGAGGACTTTTCAAAGACCTGACATTTCCGCTCACGCTTTTTCAAGGGTCTTTCAATGTCACGGGTTATAAAACTGATTTTATATTATAGTAACCGAAAATAATATAAAATTACAACAATATAATAGAACTGTGCAAGGTGAAGCGTGCTAAAAGTATTATTAGACAAATTATGTTGCTTGTGACAAAAGTACAAATAATTAAATATACAAGAAATAATGATAGTTTTATTGGAATTGTATTTGGATTGAAGCAAAAAGACATTTCTCATATTTCCTACTAAGAAAGCCATCACAAATCTTTAAAATTTTTATCTGATAAAGTGCATCATTAATTATGTCATGTAATGCTCAGTGGTGGCTTCTTTGTTGTCAAGATTTGCAGTGGTATGAATATGTTCTAGGAAATGATCATGTATTGGGTGACTCAGATCACTCAACTCTCCTATGTATATGTTTGAACACCGTGTACATGTTATTTCATAGACAGTTTCTTAAGTGTGCAGGATTTCTCTAAGCCATTGGTCTTAGTAAAGCACTTTTGGGATTTACATGGATTGTTGTTATTGAAGGGTGAACGAGTAATTATACCCTTCAGTTTTTTACAATGTTTTTTTATGATGTGAATATTCAGACCAGATCTTATAATCACTTGATGAAGACGAGTAGTTAAAGGTTTATCCACAAGGCTTAATGCATGAAACTGTGTTTTGAAATGGCGATTTCCATTTTTTTGCTGTCGTTTGTTAAAATCTTGTGAATCAAAATTGTGGATTATCTTAGTAATGTAAAACCATATGGAAAGTCATTAGACAATAGAAGCTTTTGAAGTTTCATCCTAGCTTATGTTTTATCGTCCATGATGTTGCTTTTTTAAGTTAACTGATAATGACATCATGTATGGTAATTGGTGGATGGTGTAAGTAACAATTTAAAAT